TCGTTCCGTCGTCGGGACGTCGCTAGTGGTGAGTCCCTATGTTCCCTCTGACATTCAATCATGTCGCAGGATGAAAGGTCCGAACCGACACGAATGTCAGTTGTATTTTACATTTGCCAGTCCATAGTGACCGCGACTGGATCTTCACTGAGTCTAGTCGCGAGTGACCTTTGTTTTTATTACATGTGTATTTAGTTCAGGATGTCATTTTCTTGTTTCTTTGCAATACTCTAATTTATAACAAAATCTTTCACTTATAAACTTAGTAACTAGTTCGATGTAACTGTTATTTGAATATAATATCAATTTTATCTCAGCAGTATTTGCAAAATTGTGAACAAGAAAAATAATGTTCTTTATCGGAGTCCAGTTGAAAACTATTTGTATATTAATGTTTAGTGGATTCAACTGGACGAGGGTAAAAAACTAATTTTTAGTTTGTCGAAGCTTGAAATTCTTTTAAATTAAATTTTTCTAATACTTTCTTTTTATTAATTTTCTATTATATTCTTTTTCATACTTAACTGATATTTATTTAAATTATAAAAAACATAAACTGTCTTTTTTTCAAGTAACAAAATACTTGGCTCCTCATTTGAGGATTTTTCAATGTAGTATATTGAGATTAGGATGTCTGTTCTCTTTTTACTTTCAGCGAACCACACGGTGAGTGTCCCATTTAGGCTGGTTGTGTTCTTGCGAACCTGCTGGTTTTTTCTATGCCCAGGTGCTATAGAAAAAATTTGCAAACTTGAAACACCAGCCAAATTGTGCCCTAACAACTGCTGTGTTAATATGGTTTATTATTATTTTTTCTTATTATTTATATTTTCAATGAATCGCTACATATTAATTATATATAATATAAAAATTCGCACTTGAGTAAGCATTATCACAGTGCTACTTTTCATACATTTCATAATTTGTTTTCAATAAGAATATTCATAGTGAATATTTACTCTTTCATAATTCTTTGCTTTACAATTAAATAGTAATTGAATGACCAGCAGTTGACAGGGTTTTTTAAAGCACTTGTTAATTGTGTCAAGCTGGGGTGACGGGTACGTTCCAATGAGCGTACCCCTAGTGTAGGCTGTTTGCACCCTGGCGGAGTGAAAAACGCGATTGTCAATCGACGCGTGTGAGTGCAGTTGCCAATTTAGATACAGGAAATAGCAACAAGTTTCTTGTTTTTGATTTTTGGACTACTTTGCATCCGCTTAATCATTTAAAGGTTTTCAAGTGCAGGTTTATATTTTAATATCAGGGCTCGTTAACTGTGTTTCCCTTTTCAGTAATTATTGTATCGTATTTCATTACATTGTATTATCTGATAATACATTATAATTCGCAATGCCACTATGATTCCACGCAAAGGAATTATATGCATAGTTTTTCGAGTGGAGCCCAAAAACATGAACAGATTCTCAGTTGCTGCTTTCTGTCAATTAGGGAGGTAGGCTAGAGTTTCTGGAACGAACGTTTTACATTTAAGTAGGCAGGAACCCCACCCCCCAGGTCATGATTTTTTCTTCGTGCTTTTTTCACGAAAGAACATTGACTTGGCTGCGACCTACTGACCCCCCCCCCCAAAATTGCCCAAGGGATTTGCACATTCACAAGCTTCCATGATACACTCTCCCAATTGCTTTCATTGTATCCGTAAAATTGTGTTTTCGCGATATAGTCCCCAAGTCCCTTCCTAGGTCTGCGTGGGACCATCGCGGGAGCGCCGTGGAAGAGGCTGTGGGCCGAAGAAACTGCCTTCAATTTCTTGACCCAGATCAATGCTTCCTTGTTAACTTCTGTGATTAAATGCGAATACTGTACTTGGTTTCCTATAAGTCATCATTGACGTAAATTTAATCATTTAATAGTTTTCACCTGTTATTGCAATGTTCTGAATGATCTTTGATCTTGGTGTCACGGAGTTGTTGTGCTGAGCACATGGTTTTCGATTCTTTTAAGAAAGTCATGTTTCCTTAGAGGATCGAAAATCATTGTTCAAAGATTTTCTCACGTTGTCACTATGGAACTGTGCCCGATAACCACTGTATTGTATTTGATATATATGTATGTGTATTGTTTGAAACGGTGGAAACGTTTTAATACTTACAAATATACTGAGTGACATAACTACAGATGTTTTTATAAAAATGTTATACTATTATTTGTAAGGGAACATTTGGTTCCCATCATGCAAATATGGAATAGGTTTTATTTCTTAATATTTTTTAACATTATCTTCTTCAGCCACTTCATTTGGAACCAACCAATACTTTTTATTGGTTTCTAAGTAACTTAAATAAGATTTCTGATTTTTGGCTTTATCGATTCATCTAATTTTTGTAAATACTTTAATAGCTTTGAATAATTATCCATTTGTTCCACCGTTTCATCTTCCATACTTTCTCACTTCTTTCCAACATGCCAAAAAAGAAGGCAACAGGTAATTAGGTACATCGACTATGAAAATTAATTCTCAAGTATCTATGGAGTAAAATATTACTATGAGCTGCAAAATACAATCTTCCATGTATACATACAAATACAACATTCAACATTTATATGGATTTTTCTGGGATCTTCTGTGCTCTCACCAGAAACAATCTGAGTAAGTATATATCTTTTATTTAATTTACTAATTGTCTTGGCATTAAAAATGAAAATGCCAACGCACAGAAATCTGATATCGTCTCTGAGTAGGAGCAAGATATAGTATTAATGTTAGTCAATGTAGAAAAAGCTGCACAGTTTTTCTTGCATAATTAAAACTTTCTTGTATAATTAAAAATTTGTATTATTTCTGATTCAGGTTGTACCCCGGTTACTGCCGGATAGAATGCAAAAGTACAAAAGTATTGAGAAGCAGAAATGATATTTGTGCAAGAAGAAATTTCAAATGAATTGAATTTTGAATTGAATTTTGAACAAATTTGAGATGAATTGTCATGCAAGAACGATATCGTCTGGCATAAATAGGTAAGGCTCTTGGAATAATGTATGTCAATATAATTTTAGATAATATAAAGTGTGATGTTTTGTTTTTTAGGATGGTAAATTATAAATGGAGGAAAATATTATATAACGAGTCTGCATGCACTGCATGTCTCGTCGTACCTGAACTGGTGAAGTGTTCATTAAAACGAATGGACCAAACCAAACGGAGAAAAGGATTCGTATTTTTTCTTAACATTATATAGTGAGCTTTCATGTGCATCCGGTATAAGAATATTTGTTTCGCGATTAGACGGTTTTTTTAGACGGTGAACGTGGTCATATAACTATGTAAACTGTGTAACTAGGGAATTAGGTGACTCTAGGAAACGCAGTACCGTAGATGTACCGTATAAGTTATTTGAGCTCTTATAACCGTCTAAGGCTAGAGCTCGCGTATTCTTTTTTTAAACGTATCTCATGTATTCCGTTTTCCGTAATTCCCGAGGTTTTTTCCCCTGAGTATCGCGGCTCAGGGGTTTTTTCTCCTCAAACCCTCCAAAACTATCAAAACTCCCAAAACCCCCGAAACCCTCCGAAACTACCCAAAACTACCCAAACCTACATAAACCCCCAAAACTACCCAAAACTACCCAAACCCCCAAAACCCCCCAAACCTCCGAAAACTCCCAAAACCCCCAAAACCACCCGAGACTACCCAAAACTACCCAAACCTACAGAAACCCCCAAAACTGCCCATACCCCCAAAACTACCCAAACCCCCAGAACCCCCCAATACTACCCAAAACTACCCAAACCTACATAAACCCCCAAAACTACCCAAAACTACCCAAACCCCCAAAACCCCCCAAAACTCCGAAAACTCCCAAAACCCCCAAAACCACCCGAGACTACCCAAAACTACCCAAACCTACAGAAACCCCCAAAACTGCCCATACCCCCAAAACTACCCAAACCCCCAGAACCCCCCAATACTACCCAAAACTACCCAAACCTACATAAACCCCCAAAACTACCCAAAACTACCCAAACCCCCAAAACCCCCCAAAACTCCGAAAACTCCCAAAACCCCCAAAACCACCCGAGACTACCCAAAACTACCCAAACCTACAGAAACCCCCAAAACTGCCCATACCCCCAAAACTACCCAAACCCCCAGAACCCCCCAATACTACCCAAAACTACCCAAACCTACATAAACCCCCAAAACTACCCAAAACTACCCAAACCCCCAAAACCCCCCAAACCTCCGAAAACTCCCAAAACCCCCAAAACCACCCGAGACTACCCAAAACTACCCAAACCTACAGAAACCCCCAAAACTGCCCATACCCCCAAAACTACCCAAACCCCCAGAACCCCCCAATACTACCCAAAACTACCCAAACCTACATAAACCCCCAAAACTACCCAAACCTACCCAAACCCCCAAAACTACCCAAACCCCCAAAACCCCCCAAAACTCCGAAAACTCCCAAAACCCCCAAAACCACCCGAGACTACCCAAAACTACCCAAACCTACAGAAACCCCCAAAACTGCCCATACCCCCAAAACTACCCAAACCCCCAGAACCCCCCAATACTACCCAAAACTACCCAAAATCACCCAAAACTAATCCGCTTGACGGATGACGGAGGGGCCGTTAGCTCCCTTCTGGAATGGTCAGGGCCTCACGGAAATGGGCGGGGTTGGGGCCCATTTCTTAGGGCTATGTAACTGTACCCGATAACGATTATCTCATTATTTCATTCTATATTTGATATATGTGTATTTGATATATTTGATATATGTGTTTGAAACGGTGGAAACGTTTTAATACTTATAAATATACTGAGTCACATAACTACAGATGTTTTTATAAAAATGTTATATTATTATTTGTAAGAAAACATTTGGTTCGCATCATGCGAATATAGAATAGATTTTATTTCTCAATATTTTTTAATATTATCTTCTTCAGCCACTTCATTTGGAACCAACCAATACTTTTTATTGCTTTCTAAGTAACTTAAATAAGATTTCTGATTTTTGGCTTTATCGATTCATCTAATTTTTGTAAATACTTTAATAGCTTTGAATAATGATCCATTTGTTCCACCGTTTCATCTTCCTTACATTCTCGCTTCTTTCCAACATGCCAAAAAAGAAGGCAACAGGTAATTAGGTACATCGACTATGAAAATTAATTCTCAAGTATCTATGGAGTAAAATATTACTATGAGCTGCAAAATACAATCTTCCATGTATACATACAAATACAACATTCAACATTTATATGGATTTTTCTGGGATCTTCTGTGCTCTCACCAGAAACAATCTGAGTAAGTATATATCTTTTATTTAATTTACTAATTGTCTTGGCATTAAAAATGAAAATGCCAACGCACAGAAATCTGATAACGTCTCTGAGTAGGAGCAAGATTTAGTATTAATGTTAGTCAATGTTGAAAAAGCTGCACAGCTTTTCTTGCATGTCACTGTACCACAATTTAAAGGCTTTTGACAGTAGTATAACAGTTAGGTGTACGGTATACTTGAGAAAAGAAATGATCGTACAAGTAAAGAGTGCTCTCCTGCGTGAACAAAGACGTTATATTGGATACTAGCTGCTTGTTTCCATACAGAATGTATAATTAAAAATTTGTATTATTTCTGATTCAGGTTGTACCCCGGTTACTGCTGGATAGAATGCAAAAGCACAAAAGTATTGAGAAGCAGAAATGATATTTGTGCAAGAAGAAATTTCAAATGAATTGAATTTTGAAAAAGTTTGGGATGAATTGTCATGCAATAACGATATCGTCTGGCATAAATAGGTAAGGCTCTTGGAGTAATGTATGTCAATATAATGTTAGATAATATAAAGTTTGATGTTTCGTTTTTTAGGTTGGTAAATTATAATTGGAGGAAAATATTATATAACGAGTCTGCATGCACTGCATGTCTCGTCGTACCTGAACTGGTGAAGTGTTCATTAAAACGAATGGACCAAACGAAAAGGAGAAAAGGGTTTTTTTTTATTAACATTATATTGTGATATTTTATGTGCTTCCGGTGTAAGAACATTTGTTTCACGATTAGATGGTTTTCTTGTTTGATCTTTTTTTCCGGTATAAGTAACACTTATAGGCAGTCACATTATGCCCGCGTGCGTGCTTTAGTGAAGAGAAGTGATCAAGAGAAGAGAAGAGAAGAGGAGAAGAGAAGAGTATGTGAGAAGATGAGAAGAGAAGAGGTGAAGAGAAGAGAAGAAGAGGAGAAGAGGAAGAGGATGAGGAGAACAAGAAGAAGAAGGAAGAAGGAAGAAGGAAGAAGGAAGAAGGAAGAAGGAAGAAGGAAGAAGGAAGAAGGAAGAAGGAAGAAGGAAGAAGGAAGAAGGAAGAAGGAAGAAGGAAGAAGGAAGAAGGAAGAAGGAAGAAGGAAGAAGGAAGAAGGAAGAAGGAAGAAGGAAGAAGGAAGAAGGAAGAAGGAAGAAGGAAGAAGGAAGAAGGAAGAAGGAAGAAGGAAGAAGGAAGAAGGAAGAAGGAAGAAGGAAGAAGGAAGAAGGAAGAAGGAAGAAGGAAGAAGGAAGAAGGAAGAAGGAAGAAGGAAGAAGGAAGAAGGAAGAAGGAAGAAGGAAGAAGGAAGAAGGAAGAAGGAAGAAGGAAGAAGGAAGAAGGAAGAAGGAAGAAGGAAGAAGGAAGAAGGAAGAAGGAAGAAGGAAGAAGGAAGAAGGAAGAAGGAAGAAGGAAGAAGGAAGAAGGAAGAAGGAAGAAGGAAGAAGGAAGAAGGAAGAAGGAAGAAGGAAGAAGGAAGAAGGAAGAAGGAAGAAGGAAGAAGGAAGAAGGAAGAAGGAAGAAGGAAGAAGGAAGAAGGAAGAAGGAAGAAGGAAGAAGGAAGAAGGAAGAAGGAAGAAGGAAGAAGGAAGAAGGAAGAAGGAAGAAGGAAGAAGGAAGAAGGAAGAAGGAAGAAGGAAGAAGGAAGAAGGAAGAAGGAAGAAGGAAGAAGGAAGAAGGAAGAAGGAAGAAGGAAGAAGGAAGAAGGAAGAAGGAAGAAGGAAGAAGGAAGAAGGAAGAAGGAAGAAGGAAGAAGGAAGAAGGAAGAAGGAAGAAGGAAGAAGGAAGAAGGAAGAAGGAAGAAGGAAGAAGGAAGAAGGAAGAAGGAAGAAGGAAGAAGGAAGAAGGAAGAAGGAAGAAGGAAGAAGGAAGAAGGAAGAAGGAAGAAGGAAGAAGGAAGAAGGAAGAAGGAAGAAGGAAGAAGGAAGAAGGAAGAAGGAAGAAGGAAGAAGGAAGAAGGAAGAAGGAAGAAGGAAGAAGGAAGAAGGAAGAAGGAAGAAGGAAGAAGGAAGAAGGAAGAAGGAAGAAGGAAGAAGGAAGAAGGAAGAAGGAAGAAGGAAGAAGGAAGAAGGAAGAAGGAAGAAGGAAGAAGGAAGAAGGAAGAAGGAAGAAGGAAGAAGGAAGAAGGAAGAAGGAAGAAGGAAGAAGGAAGAAGGAAGAAGGAAGAAGGAAGAAGGAAGAAGGAAGAAGGAAGAAGGAAGAAGGAAGAAGGAAGAAGGAAGAAGGAAGAAGGAAGAAGGAAGAAGGAAGAAGGAAGAAGGAAGAAGGAAGAAGGAAGAAGGAAGAAGGAAGAAGGAAGAAGGAAGAAGGAAGAAGGAAGAAGGAAGAAGGAAGAAGGAAGAAGGAAGAAGGAAGAAGGAAGAAGGAAGAAGGAAGAAGGAAGAAGGAAGAAGGAAGAAGGAAGAAGGAAGAAGGAAGAAGGAAGAAGGAAGAAGGAAGAAGGAAGAAGGAAGAAGGAAGAAGGAAGAAGGAAGAAGGAAGAAGGAAGAAGGAAGAAGGAAGAAGGAAGAAGGAAGAAGGAAGAAGGAAGAAGGAAGAAGGAAGAAGGAAGAAGGAAGAAGGAAGAAGGAAGAAGGAAGAAGGAAGAAGGAAGAAGGAAGAAGGAAGAAGGAAGAAGGAAGAAGGAAGAAGGAAGAAGGAAGAAGGAAGAAGGAAGAAGGAAGAAGGAAGAAGGAAGAAGGAAGAAGGAAGAAGGAAGAAGGAAGAAGGAAGAAGGAAGAAGGAAGAAGGAAGAAGGAAGAAGGAAGAAGGAAGAAGGAAGAAGGAAGAAGGAAGAAGGAAGAAGGAAGAAGGAAGAAGGAAGAAGGAAGAAGGAAGAAGGAAGAAGGAAGAAGGAAGAAGGAAGAAGGAAGAAGGAAGAAGGAAGAAGGAAGAAGGAAGAAGGAAGAAGGAAGAAGGAAGAAGGAAGAAGGAAGAAGGAAGAAGGAAGAAGGAAGAAGGAAGAAGGAAGAAGGAAGAAGGAAGAAGGAAGAAGGAAGAAGGAAGAAGGAAGAAGGAAGAAGGAAGAAGGAAGAAGGAAGAAGGAAGAAGGAAGAAGGAAGAAGGAAGAAGGAAGAAGGAAGAAGGAAGAAGGAAGAAGGAAGAAGGAAGAAGGAAGAAGGAAGAAGGAAGAAGGAAGAAGGAAGAAGGAAGAAGGAAGAAGGAAGAAGGAAGAAGGAAGAAGGAAGAAGGAAGAAGGAAGAAGGAAGAAGGAAGAAGGAAGAAGGAAGAAGGAAGAAGGAAGAAGGAAGAAGGAAGAAGGAAGAAGGAAGAAGGAAGAAGGAAGAAGGAAGAAGGAAGAAGGAAGAAGGAAGAAGGAAGAAGGAAGAAGGAAGAAGGAAGAAGGAAGAAGGAAGAAGGAAGAAGGAAGAAGGAAGAAGGAAGAAGGAAGAAGGAAGAAGGAAGAAGGAAGAAGGAAGAAGGAAGAAGGAAGAAGGAAGAAGGAAGAAGGAAGAAGGAAGAAGGAAGAAGGAAGAAGGAAGAAGGAAGAAGGAAGAAGGAAGAAGGAAGAAGGAAGAAGGAAGAAGGAAGAAGGAAGAAGGAAGAAGGAAGAAGGAAGAAGGAAGAAGGAAGAAGGAAGAAGGAAGAAGGAAGAAGGAAGAAGGAAGAAGGAAGAAGGAAGAAGGAAGAAGGAAGAAGGAAGAAGGAAGAAGGAAGAAGGAAGAAGGAAGAAGGAAGAAGGAAGAAGGAAGAAGGAAGAAGGAAGAAGGAAGAAGGAAGAAGGAAGAAGGAAGAAGGAAGAAGGAAGAAGGAAGAAGGAAGAAGGAAGAAGGAAGAAGGAAGAAGGAAGAAGGAAGAAGGAAGAAGGAAGAAGGAAGAAGGAAGAAGGAAGAAGGAAGAAGGAAGAAGGAAGAAGGAAGAAGGAAGAAGGAAGAAGGAAGAAGGAAGAAGGAAGAAGGAAGAAGGAAGAAGGAAGAAGGAAGAAGGAAGAAGGAAGAAGGAAGAAGGAAGAAGGAAGAAGGAAGAAGGAAGAAGGAAGAAGGAAGAAGGAAGAAGGAAGAAGGAAGAAGGAAGAAGGAAGAAGGAAGAAGGAAGAAGGAAGAAGGAAGAAGGAAGAAGGAAGAAGGAAGAAGGAAGAAGGAAGAAGGAAGAAGGAAGAAGGAAGAAGGAAGAAGGAAGAAGGAAGAAGGAAGAAGGAAGAAGGAAGAAGGAAGAAGGAAGAAGGAAGAAGGAAGAAGGAAGAAGGAAGAAGGAAGAAGGAAGAAGGAAGAAGGAAGAAGGAAGAAGGAAGAAGGAAGAAGGAAGAAGGAAGAAGGAAGAAGGAAGAAGGAAGAAGGAAGAAGGAAGAAGGAAGAAGGAAGAAGGAAGAAGGAAGAAGGAAGAAGGAAGAAGGAAGAAGGAAGAAGGAAGAAGGAAGAAGGAAGAAGGAAGAAGGAAGAAGGAAGAAGGAAGAAGGAAGAAGGAAGAAGGAAGAAGGAAGAAGGAAGAAGGAAGAAGGAAGAAGGAAGAAGGAAGAAGGAAGAAGGAAGAAGGAAGAAGGAAGAAGGAAGAAGGAAGAAGGAAGAAGGAAGAAGGAAGAAGGAAGAAGGAAGAAGGAAGAAGGAAGAAGGAAGAAGGAAGAAGGAAGAAGGAAGAAGGAAGAAGGAAGAAGGAAGAAGGAAGAAGGAAGAAGGAAGAAGGAAGAAGGAAGAAGGAAGAAGGAAGAAGGAAGAAGGAAGAAGGAAGAAGGAAGAAGGAAGAAGGAAGAAGGAAGAAGGAAGAAGGAAGAAGGAAGAAGGAAGAAGGAAGAAGGAAGAAGGAAGAAGGAAGAAGGAAGAAGGAAGAAGGAAGAAGGAAGAAGGAAGAAGGAAGAAGGATGCAACAACCACTTCCTTTCAATTCTCGGTCGATTCTGAGATTTTTCAACGATGTCGTTTCGTGAAAATTCCACCGGTGCACCTATTCGTGATTTTCTTTTTGTAACTTTGAAAATCCCACGGCCCCCCAAATACGTCATGCCCCCAAAAGCCCCAAAAGCCCCAAATCCCCAAAAGCCCCAAATCCCCAAAACTCCAAATCCCCAAAACCCTAAAACCCCAAATCCCCAAATCCCGAAAACTCCAAAACCCCAAAACTTGTCATCAGTCGGACAACAACGGAGGGGCCGTTAGCTCCCTTCTGGAATGGTCAGGGCCTCACGGAAATGGGCGGGGTTGGGGCCCATTTCTTAGGGCTATGTAACTGTACCCGATAACGATTATCTCATTATTTCATTCTATATTTGATATATGTGTATTTGATATATTTGATATATGTGTTTGAAACGGTGGAAACGTTTTAATACTTATAAATATACTGAGTCACATAACTACAGATGTTTTTATAAAAATGTTATATTATTATTTGTAAGAAAACATTTGGTTCGCATCATGCGAATATAGAATAGATTTTATTTCTTAATATTTTTTAACATTATCTTCTTCAGCCACTTCATTTGGAACCAACCAATACTTTTTATTGATTTCTAAGTAACTTAAATAAGATTTCTGATTTTTGGCTTTATCGATTCATCTAATTTTTGTAAATACTTTAATAGCTTTGAATAATGATCCATTTGTTCCACCGTTTCATCTTCCTTACATTCTCGCTTCTTTCCAACATGCCAAAAAAGAAGGCAACAGGTAATTAGGTACATCGACTATGAAAATTAATTCTCAAGTATCTATGGAGTAAAATATTACTATGAGCTGCAAAATACAATCTTCCATGTATACATACAAATACAACATTCAACATTTATATGGATTTTTCTGGGATCTTCTGTGCTCTCACCAGAAACAATCTGAGTAAGTATATATCTTTTATTTAATTTACTAATTGTCTTGGCATTAAAAATGAAAATGCCAACGCACAGAAATCTGATAACGTCTCTGAGTAGGAGCAAGATTTAGTATTAATGTTAGTCAATGTTGAAAAAGCTGCACAGCTTTTCTTGCATGTCACTGTACCACAATTTAAAGGCTTTTGACAGTAGTATAACAGTTAGGTGTACGGTATACTTGAGAAAAGAAATGATCGTACAAGTAAAGAGTGCTCTCCTGCGTGAACAAAGACGTTATATTGGATACTAGCTGCTTGTTTCCATACAGAATGTATAATTAAAAATTTGTATTATTTCTGATTCAGGTTGTACCCCGGTTACTGCTGGATAGAATGCAAAAGCACAAAAGTATTGAGAAGCAGAAATGATATTTGTGCAAGAAGAAATTTCAAATGAATTGAATTTTGAAAAAGTTTGGGATGAATTGTCATGCAATAACGATATCGTCTGGCATAAATAGGTAAGGCTCTTGGAGTAATGTATGTCAATATAATGTTAGATAATATAAAGTTTGATGTTTCGTTTTTTAGGTTGGTAAATTATAATTGGAGGAAAATATTATATAACGAGTCTGCATGCACTGCATGTCTCGTCGTACCTGAACTGGTGAAGTGTTCATTAAAACGAATGGACCAAACGAAAAGGAGAAAAGGGTTTTTTTTTTATTAACATTATATTGTGATATTTTATGTGCTTCCGGTGTAAGAACATTTGTTTCACGATTAGATGGTTTTCTTGTTTGATCTTTTTTTCCGGTATAAGTAACACTTATAGGCAGTCACATTATGCCCGCGTGCGTGCTTTAGTGAAGAGAAGTGATCAAGAGAAGAGAAGAGAAGAGGAGAAGAGAAGAGTATGTGAGAAGATGAGAAGAGAAGAGGTGAAGAGAAGAGAAGAAGAGGAGAAGAGGAAGAGGATGAGGAGAACAAGAAGAAGAAGGAAGAAGGAAGAAGGAAGAAGGAAGAAGGAAGAAGGAAGAAGGAAGAAGGAAGAAGGAAGAAGGAAGAAGGAAGAAGGAAGAAGGAAGAAGGAAGAAGGAAGAAGGAAGAAGGAAGAAGGAAGAAGGAAGAAGGAAGAAGGAAGAAGGAAGAAGGAAGAAGGAAGAAGGAAGAAGGAAGAAGGAAGAAGGAAGAAGGAAGAAGGAAGAAGGAAGAAGGAAGAAGGAAGAAGGAAGAAGGAAGAAGGAAGAAGGAAGAAGGAAGAAGGAAGAAGGAAGAAGGAAGAAGGAAGAAGGAAGAAGGAAGAAGGAAGAAGGAAGAAGGAAGAAGGAAGAAGGAAGAAGGAAGAAGGAAGAAGGAAGAAGGAAGAAGGAAGAAGGAAGAAGGAAGAAGGAAGAAGGAAGAAGGAAGAAGGAAGAAGGAAGAAGGAAGAAGGAAGAAGGAAGAAGGAAGAAGGAAGAAGGAAGAAGGAAGAAGGAAGAAGGAAGAAGGAAGAAGGAAGAAGGAAGAAGGAAGAAGGAAGAAGGAAGAAGGAAGAAGGAAGAAGGAAGAAGGAAGAAGGAAGAAGGAAGAAGGAAGAAGGAAGAAGGAAGAAGGAAGAAGGAAGAAGGAAGAAGGAAGAAGGAAGAAGGAAGAAGGAAGAAGGAAGAAGGAAGAAGGAAGAAGGAAGAAGGAAGAAGGAAGAAGGAAGAAGGAAGAAGGAAGAAGGAAGAAGGAAGAAGGAAGAAGGAAGAAGGAAGAAGGAAGAAGGAAGAAGGAAGAAGGAAGAAGGAAGAAGGAAGAAGGAAGAAGGAAGAAGGAAGAAGGAAGAAGGAAGAAGGAAGAAGGAAGAAGGAAGAAGGAAGAAGGAAGAAGGAAGAAGGAAGAAGGAAGAAGGAAGAAGGAAGAAGGAAGAAGGAAGAAGGAAGAAGGAAGAAGGAAGAAGGAAGAAGGAAGAAGGAAGAAGGAAGAAGGAAGAAGGAAGAAGGAAGAAGGAAGAAGGAAGAAGGAAGAAGGAAGAAGGAAGAAGGAAGAAGGAAGAAGGAAGAAGGAAGAAGGAAGAAGGAAGAAGGAAGAAGGAAGAAGGAAGAAGGAAGAAGGAAGAAGGAAGAAGGAAGAAGGAAGAAGGAAGAAGGAAGAAGGAAGAAGGAAGAAGGAAGAAGGAAGAAGGAAGAAGGAAGAAGGAAGAAGGAAGAAGGAAGAAGGAAGAAGGAAGAAGGAAGAAGGAAGAAGGAAGAAGGAAGAAGGAAGAAGGAAGAAGGAAGAAGGAAGAAGGAAGAAGGAAGAAGGAAGAAGGAAGAAGGAAGAAGGAAGAAGGAAGAAGGAAGAAGGAAGAAGGAAGAAGGAAGAAGGAAGAAGGAAGAAGGAAGAAGGAAGAAGGAAGAAGGAAGAAGGAAGAAGGAAGAAGGAAGAAGGAAGAAGGAAGAAGGAAGAAGGAAGAAGGAAGAAGGAAGAAGGAAGAAGGAAGAAGGAAGAAGGAAGAAGGAAGAAGGAAGAAGGAAGAAGGAAGAAGGAAGAAGGAAGAAGGAAGAAGGAAGAAGGAAGAAGGAAGAAGGAAGAAGGAAGAAGGAAGAAGGAAGAAGGAAGAAGGAAGAAGGAAGAAGGAAGAAGGAAGAAGGAAGAAGGAAGAAGGAAGAAGGAAGAAGGAAGAAGGAAGAAGGAAGAAGGAAGAAGGAAGAAGGAAGAAGGAAGAAGGAAGAAGGAAGAAGGAAGAAGGAAGAAGGAAGAAGGAAGAAGGAAGAAGGAAGAAGGAAGAAGGAAGAAGGAAGAAGGAAGAAGGAAGAAGGAAGAAGGAAGAAGGAAGAAGGAAGAAGGAAGAAGGAAGAAGGAAGAAGGAAGAAGGAAGAAGGAAGAAGGAAGAAGGAAGAAGGAAGAAGGAAGAAGGAAGAAGGAAGAAGGAAGAAGGAAGAAGGAAGAAGGAAGAAGGAAGAAGGAAGAAGGAAGAAGGAAGAAGGAAGAAGGAAGAAGGAAGAAGGAAGAAGGAAGAAGGAAGAAGGAAGAAGGAAGAAGGAAGAAGGAAGAAGGAAGAAGGAAGAAGGAAGAAGGAAGAAGGAAGAAGGAAGAAGGAAGAAGGAAGAAGGAAGAAGGAAGAAGGAAGAAGGAAGAAGGAAGAAGGAAGAAGGAAGAAGGAAGAAGGAAGAAGGAAGAAGGAAGAAGGAAGAAGGAAGAAGGAAGAAGGAAGAAGGAAGAAGGAAGAAGGAAGAAGGAAGAAGGAAGAAGGAAGAAGGAAGAAGGAAGAAGGAAGAAGGAAGAAGGAAGAAGGAAGAAGGAAGAAGGAAGAAGGAAGAAGGAAGAAGGAAGAAGGAAGAAGGAAGAAGGAAGAAGGAAGAAGGAAGAAGGAAGAAGGAAGAAGGAAGAAGGAAGAAGGAAGAAGGAAGAAGGAAGAAGGAAGAAGGAAGAAGGAAGAAGGAAGAAGGAAGAAGGAAGAAGGAAGAAGGAAGAAGGAAGAAGGAAGAAGGAAGAAGGAAGAAGGAAGAAGGAAGAAGGAAGAAGGAAGAAGGAAGAAGGAAGAAGGAAGAAGGAAGAAGGAAGAAGGAAGAAGGAAGAAGGAAGAAGGAAGAAGGAAGAAGGAAGAAGGAAGAAGGAAGAAGGAAGAAGGAAGAAGGAAGAAGGAAGAAGGAAGAAGGAAGAAGGAAGAAGGAAGAAGGAAGAAGGAAGAAGGAAGAAGGAAGAAGGAAGAAGGAAGAAGGAAGAAGGAAGAAGGAAGAAGGAAGAAGGAAGAAGGAAGAAGGAAGAAGGAAGAAGGAAGAAGGAAGAAGGAAGAAGGAAGAAGGAAGAAGGAAGAAGGAAGAAGGAAGAAGGAAGAAGGAAGAAAGAACATTTGTTTCACGATTAGATGGTTTTCTTGTTTGATCTTTTTTTCCGGTATAAGTAACACTTATAGGCAGTCACATTATGCCCGCGTGCGTGCTTTAGTGAAGAGAAGTGATCAAGAGAAGAGAAGAGAAGAGGAGAAGAGAAGAGGAGAAGAGAAGAGAAGAGGAGAAGAGAAGAGTATGTGAGAAGATGAGAAGAGAAGAGGTGAAGAGAAGAGAAGAAGAGGAGAAGAGGAAGAGGATGAGGAGAACAAGAAGAAGAAGGAAGAAGGAAGAAGGAAGAAGGAAGAAGGAAGAAGGAAGAAGGAAGAAGGAAGAAGGAAGAAGGAAGAAGGAAGAAGGAAGAAGGAAGAAGGAAGAAGGAAGAAGGAAGAAGGAAGAAGGAAGAAGGAAGAAGGAAGAAGGAAGAAGGAAGAAGGAAGAAGGAAGAAGGAAGAAGGAAGAAGGAAGAAGGAAGAAGGAAGAAGGAAGAAGGAAGAAGGAAGAAGGAAGAAGGAAGAAGGAAGAAGGAAGAAGGAAGAAGGAAGAAGGAAGAAGGAAGAAGGAAGAAGGAAGAAGGAAGAAGGAAGAAGGAAGAAGGAAGAAGGAAGAAGGAAGAAGGAAGAAGGAAGAAGGAAGAAGGAAGAAGGAAGAAGGAAGAAGGAAGAAGGAAGAAGGAAGAAGGAAGAAGGAAGAAGGAAGAAGGAAGAAGGAAGAAGGAAGAAGGAAGAAGGAAGAAGGAAGAAGGAAGAAGGAAGAAGGAAGAAGGAAGAAGGAAGAAGGAAGAAGGAAGAAGGAAGAAGGAAGAAGGAAGAAGGAAGAAGGAAGAAGGAAGAAGGAAGAAGGAAGAAGGAAGAAGGAAGAAGGAAGAAGGAAGAAGGAAGAAGGAAGAAGGAAGAAGGAAGAAGGAAGAAGGAAGAAGGAAGAAGGAAGAAGGAAGAAGGAAGAAGGAAGAAGGAAGAAGGAAGAAGGAAGAAGGAAGAAGGAAGAAGGAAGAAGGAAGAAGGAAGAAGGAAGAAGGAAGAAGGAAGAAGGAAGAAGGAAGAAGGAAGAAGGAAGAAGGAAGAAGGAAGAAGGAAGAAGGAAGAAGGAAGAAGGAAGAAGGAAGAAGGAAGAAGGAAGAAGGAAGAAGGAAGAAGGAAGAAGGAAGAAGGAAGAAGAAGGAAGAAGAAGACGGAAGGACTCACTGTCAAGGTCTCAAACGACCTCGGCGAATAAATTCATTTAAGCAGCGGGACTTTGACCTGCCAGGATATAGATAGGGCTCGTCTCACCACCTAGTGGCGTTATAGAAAATGGCGTGCGTGCGAGCGTGCGAGCGTGCGTGCGTGCGTGCGTGCGTGCGTGCGTGCGTGCGTGCGTGCGTGCGTGCGTGCGTGCGTGCGTGCGTGCGTGCGTGCGTGCGTGCGTGCGTGCGTGCGTGCGTGCGTGCGTGCGTGCGTGCGTGCGTGCGTGCGTAGTATCTAATACGGTATAATTCACTTTATACTTTATTGCGGGCGTTCGACGGAGGCTTCCTCCTATACTAGTTGTACAGAACGTGGCCATATAACTGTGTAAACTATGTAACTAGAGAATTAGGCGACTCTAGGAAACGCAGTACCGTAGATGTACCGTATAAGTTATTTGAGCTCTTATACCCGTTTAAGGCTAGAGCTTGCGTATTCTTTTTTTAAATGTATCTCATGTATTCCGTTTTCCGTAATTCCCGAGGTTTTTTCCCCTGAGTATCGCCACTCAGGGGTTTTTTCTCCTCAAACACCCCAAAACTACTCAAACCCCCAGAACCCTCCAAAACCTCCCAAAACCCTCCAAAACCACCACCCAAACCTAACCAAACCTACCCAAACTCCGAAAACCCCCCAAAACTACCCAAACCCCGAAACCCCCAAAACCACCCAAAAATAATCCGCTTGATGGATGACGGAGGGGCCGTAGCTCCCTTTTGGAGTGGCTGGGCCTCACGGAAATGGGCGGGGTGGGGCCCATTTCACACTGGGTCTGTCAGTTCTTAACTGCCTTCTCTTGTCATCACCCTCTCTTCCGATTCTGATATTGTCCAGTTCTTTTTCAGTTTCTTGCTTCATCTGGTACCTCATTCTGGTTCTATTATCCTTTGCTCTTGCGTCTCAAGTT